GCTTTCATCTCTTCTTGTAAAACTATTCAAATCCTTTTTCATAAATTTCTGCCCTCTCTACTTGCCTTCAAAAGTTTTCAACCTAATTGCAATGTTATATGCGAATCCTTATTTGAGCCTTGATTGTTTACTTGTAAAGTCACAATTGTAGCATAGCCGGGAACCACACTAGTGGATCTTGAGGGGTGCCTAATACCTTCCCCTCGAGATAAATTTTAGCCCTTACCCAAACTCTGGTTCTTCATCTCAATTCTTTTCTTAAAAGTGTCGCAATGCACTATAATCATTAGGTGGCGACTCTTCAACTTCTAAGACGCAATTCTCGAAAGGGAATAGAGTTGTCCTTCCAATGTCGTATACCCGATTTCGACCCACGTATAGAAAAATGGGGTGTCGACATATACTCGTAGAAAATATTTTAAAACAATATAGGGCATTTCGGTTCTTATCAAATAATATAATTTTTCTCGATAACAGTAAATTCAAGTAACGGTAAAACAAATCTAGTGACAACGAAAATATTTTAAAAAAACCAAAGTATTCATCTCAAATAACTATTTCGGTATCATATCAAGTAAAAGACTTGTCCCACATGTAACTCAAAATAATCGGTAACATATCCATATTAAAAATCATGTGTAAATCATGAACGTTATGAAAACACAAATTGCGGTAAGTTTACTACTCACTGTACTCGTGCCGAAATACCAAATGCTTCACCTCGAGCAGTTCGTACAAATTCCTCCAATCAATTTATAATTACATAATATCGAGCTCATGTTAATTGCCTCATTTAGGCTAAATCCATCACTAATTTAGAATACCCAATCATCGGGGTTCATGTTTGAGTATTAGTTTGTGAATTTATATTTAATCATAGAACTAGTTCATAATTCTATCAATTTCAAACTATTTAGTATAATTTATTCCTCTAAAACTAGACCTATCAGTGCTTAAATCAAACCTTTATAGCCTTATTATCTCCATAGTAGTTGTATATATAAGAGAAAAGTGATATTGAATTCTTTTGTACTATATGAAATTGCATAGATTCAATGAAATAATTCAACAGATGAGAAGAAGAAGGTTAACCTCTTGAGTCGAAGGACAACTTTAATACTTTCAATTTCAACTCCCAATTCTTCTTAAGCCTTTGCCCAAAGCTTTCTTCTTCTTCTCTTTTCTTTTTCTTCTTCTTTGGTTTCGTTTTGTTTTCCATTTTCCTACAGAAACCTTGGCTTCTTTTGTTTGCTAACCCTTGCTAACCTTGGCAGGTTATTTTTCTAATGGGCTTCGGCCCCTTTTGTTCTTCTTTCTTTTCCTTTTTTTTTTGTTTTGTTTCATTTTGTTTCATTGTGTTTTTTTAAGTTACTTTATTATAGTTATTATTATTATTATTATTATTATTATTATGACCAATACACCCTTATTTACAAAAATATAGGGTATTACATTCTCCTCACCTTATGAAATTCGGTCCCCGAGTAGACTGAAACAAATGGGGGTACTTGACTTGCATAGTATCTTCTATTTCCCAAAATAGCTTTTTCAACTGTATGATTTCTCCATAAGACTTTCACGAACACGATTTCTTTTGACTGTAGTTTTCTTATTTGTCTATCAACAATAGCCATTGGATCCTCCTCATAAGGCAACCTCTCATCGAGTGGTGTAGTCAGTGCTTCAATCACCTGAGATGAGTCTGATATTCATTTTCTTAGCATTGAGACGTGAAACACTGGATGACTAAAGGACAACTCAGGAGGAAGTGTCAAACGATAAGCCACGACTCCCACTTGGTCTAGTATCTCATACGATCCTATAAACCTGGGGCTCAACTTGCCTCTTTTCCCAAACCGCATCACACTTTTCATAGGGGAGACTTGTAGGAACACTTTGTCCCCAATTGTGAACACTAAATCTTTTCTTCTCTTACCAACATAAGACTTTTGTCTACTTTGAGCTGTAAGCAATCTCTGTCTGATCAACTGGACCTTGTCCATAGCTTCTTGTACTAGGTCAGGTCCCAATAAATTAGTCTCACCAGCTTCAAACCATTCGATAGGAGAACGACATCTTCTACCATACAATGCTTCATACGGTGCCATTTAAATACTGGACTGGAAGCTATTGTTGTAAGCAAACTCAGGTAAAGGTAGATAAGCATACCAACTACCTCTAAACTCAAGAATGCAAGCTCTCAACATATCTTCCAAGATTTGTATAGTACATTCAGACTGCCCGTCTGTCTGTGGATGAAATGCAGTACTAAGATCTACTCGTGTACCCAATGCTTCTTGAAAAGATTTCCAAATGCGTGAGGTAAATTGTGATCCTCTATTAGAGATGATGGATATTGGAACTCCGTGAAGTCGGACATTTCGTTCATAAATATCTGTGCATACCTGACTCCACCATATGTAGTCTTCACCTGCAAAAAGTGTGCTGATTTTGTCGGTCGATCTACAATCACCCATACCGAGTCATAACCTCTAGGGGTTCGTGGTATCCCGGTGACAAAATCCATAGTAATTCTTTTCCATTTCTACTCTGGAATCTCAATTTGTTGTAGTAGTCCTGCGGGTCGCCGATGCTCAGCCTTGACCTGCTGACAAGTCAAACAACTAGAAATAAAGTTAGCAACATCTTTCTTCATACCTTCCCACCAATAAAATTGCTTTTGGCATGGTACATCTTTGTGGATCCAGGATGTATAGTGTATTTAGAGTTGTGGGCTTCTTCAAGAATAGCATGTCTCAACCCGTCTACGTCTGCTACACATAGCCTGTCACCCATTCGAAGAAAACCATCACTTTCAACAATCATATCCTTGCTTTTACCAGTTAAGACCCCATCTCTGTATTTACATAATCGTTCATCCTCATATTGGGTGGCCTTAATGCGCTCAACTAATGAAGACTTAGCCTGAGCACAAGCCAACAATGCCTCTGAATTTCCGACACTAAATCTGATACATGTATCTTCTAGTCTCTGAATATCTTTGGCCAAAAGTCTCTTTGTAGGGGCTATATGTGCCAAACTCCCCATAGATTTTCTACTCAATGCATCAGCCACCACATTGGCTTTTCCAGGATGATACAAAATAGAACAATCATAGTCTTTGGTAGTTCCATCCAATGACGTTGTCGAAGATTTAGATCTCTCTGCTGAAAGATATAATTCAGACTTTTATGGTCAGTATAAATCTCACAAGTTTCGCCATATAAATAATGTCTCCAAATTTTTAGAGCGAATACTACTGTAGCCATCTCCAAATCATATGTAGGATAGTTTTGCTTGTGCTTTTTCAATTGTCTCGAAGCATAAGCTATAACGCGACCATTTTGCATGAGAACACATCCTAATCCCACCCTCGAGGCGTCACAGAATACTGTAAATCCTCCAGAACCTAATGGTAAGGCTAATATTGTTGCAGTTGTCAAACATGTTTTGAGTTTTTGAAAGCTCTGCTCACATTCCTCCATCCACTGAAACTTTGCATTTTTCTGTGTTAGCTTGGTCAGCGGTGCTGCTATTCTGGAGAAATCCTGCACAAAATGCCTGTAATAGCCTGCTAAGCCTATAAAGCTGTGAATTTCTGTAGGAGAAGTAGGTCTGGGTCATTTATGCACAGCTTCAGTCTTCTTAGGATCTACCATAATTCCATCTTTGGATACAATATGCCCCAAAAATGCTATCGAGTCTAACCAAAATTCACACTTCGAGAACTTATCATAAAGCCGATGTTCTCACAAAGTCTGCAATACAGTCCTGAGATGATCCTCGTATTCTCCTTGGCTACGAGAATATATCAGGATATCATCAATAAATACTATTGCACATCTATCAAGAAATGACTTGAACACCCTATTCATTAAATCTATGAATGCCGCTAGAGCAGTAGTCAGTCCGAAAGGCATCACGAGAAACTCATAGTGCCCGTATCGAGTTCTGAAAGCAGTCTTAGAAATATCTTCATCTTTGATTCTAAGTTGATGATAACCAGAACAGAGGTCAATATTTGAAAAGTGGGCAGCTCCTTGTAACTGATCAAACATGTCATCTATACGAGGCAAAGGATATTTATTGCGTATTGTTATCTTGTTCAACTGCCTGTAGTTAATGCACATTCTCAGGGATCTATCTTTCTTCCTTACAAACAGTACTGGTGCACCCAATGGTGATACACTAGGTCTAATAAAATCCTTATCTAACAAATCCTGTAACTTTTGCTTTAGCTCCCTCAACTCTGCTGGTGCCATTCGATATGGAGGTATCGATATGGGTTGTGTGTCAGGTAGCAAATCAATACTAAAGTCTATTTTTCGTACTGGAGGCAATCCTAGTAAATCCTCAGGAAATACATCAGAAAATTCTCTCACTACTGGTACAGTTTCTATACTAATTGTTTCCTTTCTTGTGTCACTTACAATAGCTAAGAGACCCAAGCAACCTTTCTTCAGAAGTCGTTGATCTTTCATAAAAGATACAATTTTGCAAGTCTCTGGAACCTGACTCCCTCTTAGAATAAAACTGGGTTCATTTGGTATCTCAAACCTTACTATCTTTGCATGACAATCGACTATAGCATAGCAAGAAGATGACCAATACATTCCCATCAGCATGTCAAAGTCAATCATATCAAGTACAATAAGGTCAACTAGAGTATCTCTACCCTCAACCCGAATCTGACAAGAACGATACACGTATTCAGCTAATAGAGACTCTCCAACATGAGTAGCAACTAGAAAAGGATCATTTAATAACTCGGGCTGTCTACTAAATCTTAAAGTAAAGTATGAGGACACATAGGAGTGAGTAGATACCGGATCAATCAACGCAAGTGCATCAAATGAATAGACAGAAAGAATACCTGTAACCACTGCATTCGAGGCCTGAGCATCCTGTCTAGTAAATGCAAAAACTCTCGCATGACCTCTACCAGCATTTCCTTGTCCTTGATTCATAGTAGCATGGTCTCCAACACCTTGACCTCTATTTCATGTACCTATAGCACCTGAAATATTACGAGTAGTCTGAGTCGGTGCAGCCGACTGAATAGAAGCTTGGTTGAAATTTCTCGGAGGCTGAGGGCAATCCCTCAAGTGATGCCCCAACCGGCCACACCGAAAGCACTCTCCAATTAGAACACGACATTGGCCCAAATGTGATCTACCACAAGTCTGGCAGGCTGGAGTAGTGGCATACATCTATCCAGAATTATGATGTCAAGAAGATGATGGTCCCCTATTACCTTGTCTGTAATGTGGTCTTTATATGGACTGTGAAGACACGTGTGTCCCTGTTTGAGAACCCTGTTGTTGTTGTCTCTGATTTCCTGCTTTTCTATTTTCACTAAAACCACCACTGAAAGCCCCTCATGTCTTGGCCTTCTTACGTAAATCACTAGCTGCACGCTCCTCACATCCTTGTTTTCAATCTTTCTAGCAAGGTCGACTACATCAGAGTAGGATAAAGTCTTCATCTGTAGGGCTATTGCAGTGTATAGACGACCAACCAATCCATCAACAAACCTCTGAACTCGAGCTTCTTCTGTAGGCACTAAGTGAGGAGCATATATAGCTAGCGTACAGAACTTAGTGTTATATGTTGACACATCCATATCTGGAGTCTGAACCAATCTCTCAAAGTCTCTAGCATATTGTTGCATCAGACTGTCTGGAAGAAAATGATTCTTGAACAACTTAGTGAACTCGTCCCATGTCAGTGGTGGTGCTCCTGCAGGCCTTCCTAGTAATACCGTTTCATACCATGTATTGGCCATATCCTCTAGTTTGTATGCTGCGAGCTCCACGACTCTCTCACTAGAACATCCAAGAGCATGTACTGCCTTAAGTGTCCCATCCAAGAAACTTTGAGGATCTGCTGAATTATCCGAACTTGTGCATTTTAGTGATTTCAATTTCAGGAACTCGTGTAAGGATACTTCCTTATTCCCGAAAGGCTGAGTCTATGTAGGTGCTTGTGTCTGTAAAGTAGCCTGAGGAGCTGAACTTCTGCCCTGAGTAGGCACCAATGCCTCTAACACATTCAATAATCTTGCCACTGCATCTGCAGGTAAGGAAACAGTAGGTACAACAGTTGGCACTAGTGGTAGAGCGTTCTCAACTCCCTGCTCTTGCACTTGATTTGGCATAACAGCTTGGGTTTGACCCATGTTCCCAACTTGAGGTTGAGGAGCAGTCTGTCTTCTAGTTTGATGAACCCTAACTTGACTGCCACCTTGGTAGCACCACGCCCAGCACCACGTCCAGCAGATGAGGGTGTGCATGTCCTATCCATCTGCAAAAGAAATATTCCAAAGTCAATCTCAAGTTATCTCAACGCACGATCAAAGAATAAAAGAAGAGAAAACATTCCTAGATGCTCAGTAGCCTCAAGATCATAAGTTTGGGCGCCTATATACCCATGAACAAGACTCTACTAAACATTGCTCCATGCCTCGGGACTTAAAGACTAAGCTCTGATACCAACTTTGTCATGACCCAATTTAGGATTGTGACCCGCACTTAGGAGAAAGTGCTCCCAAGTAAGCCTTATCAGTAATTTTACAGAAAATCGGACAGAGTTTCCCCTATTTTTGGACCATCCCAAAAATTTTCCTGTTTCAAATCAACAACCAAACATCCTAATATCATACCAAACTATCCACAACTTGTCAATTAACCAATATAAGTCTCCACCATAACTAAACCACCAACTAACCACTAGAAATACTAATTTATCTCCAACTTTGATAAATGAGAACGATACTCAACATAAGGCTATAATAACAAAAGAATACTAATGACACTAAAATACTGACTATGGAGCGACTCTAAGATTTCAATGAAAAGACCATAACAATAAATAAAATCTATGCCCACGCGAACAAGTGTGAGGCTCACCGAGAAATATCAACCTGTGCGCTCTAATTAACGAAATCCTCGCCTGCGTCAACTGCAGTCTCTGTACAAAAATTAGTGGGGAATGAGTCTCTAGCTCAGTGAGTAATAACACTTAACCACAACCGTTTTTATTGGGGACAAGTCAAAAAACATGCTAGTATCTTAAACAGATAACATCAAAATGCCCTTTCAAAAACAATAAATAATTTTCAATCTCATCATGCTTTTCTTGTAGTATAATACAATTAACAGTTCAGTAATAAGTTCGGTAACCACTGTATAATATCAATATTCACATTTGGGAGGTTTCAATGAACGGATCATGTAATCGGTATAACTGTGGACTTCTTCGCAAGAAGTCAAATATAACGGTAGTCTCTACTCGAGGGAAGTCGGTAACGGTATGCTAGTTCTACCTTCCTACTAGCGAGGGCTACAACGGTAATTTGTAATTACAAGGTGCACCAGGTTTAACGAACCCACCGTTAGCTACGGGATCCTTCAATGTCTACTCCCATTTATACTTATCTCTGTAATCTCTATATACTCGTAGAAAATATTTTAAAACAATATAGGGCATTCGGTTCTTATCAAATCATATAATTTTTTTTCGATAACAGTAAATTCAAGTAACGATAAAACAGATCTAGTGACAATGAAAATATTTTAAAAAAACCACGGTATTCATCTCAAATAACTATTTCGGTATCATATCAAGTAAAAGACTTGTCCCACATCCAACTCAAAATAATCGGTAACATATTCATATTAAAAATCATGTGTAAATCATGCAAGTTATGAAAACACAAATTGCGGTAAGATTACTACTCACAGTACTCGTGCCGAAATACCAAATGCTTCACCTCGAGCAGTTCGTACAAATTCCTCCAATCAATCTATAATTACATAATATCGATCTCATGTTAATTGCCTCATTTAGGCTAAATCCATCACTAATTTATACCCAATCATCGGGGGTTCACGTTTGAGTATTAGTTTGTGAATTTATATTTAATCATAGAACTAGTCCATAATTCTATCAATTTCAAACTATTTAGTATAATTTATTCCTCTAAAACTAGACCTATCAGTGCTTAAATCAAATTTTTATAGCCTTATTATCTCCATAGTAGTTGTATATATAAGAGAAAAGTGATATTGAATTCTTTTGTACTACATGAAATTGCATAGATTCAGTGAAATAATTCAACAGATGAGAAGAAGAAGGTTAACCTCTTGAGTCGAAGGACAACTTTAATACCTTCAATTTCAACTCCCAATTCTTCTTAAGCCTTTGCCCAAAGCTTTCTTCTTCTTCTCTTTTCTTTTTCTTTTTCTCTGGTTTCGTTTTGTTTTCCGTTTTCCTACATAAGCCTTGGCTTCTTTTGTTTGCTAGCCCTTGCCAACCTTGGCAGGTTATTTTTCTAATGGGCTTCGGCCCCTTTCTTTTTTCTTTCTTTTCCCTTTTTTTTTTGTTTTGTTTCATTGTGTTTTTTTTAAGTTACTTTCTTATTATTATTATTATTATTATTATTATTATTATTATTATTATTATTATTATTATTATTATTATTATTATTATTATTATGGCCAATACACCCTTATTTACAAAAATATAGGGTATTGCAAAAGGGTACGACGCATTGGCACCCCTGGTTGCAGGGGCGAAGGTACATAACTTTAAGGGTGGTCAACTGACCACCGTTCGTCGAAAAATTACACTGTATATATAGGTAAAATATTAGATTTTAATGGTATATAACATATATTGAACACCCGTTATCGAGAATTATTTTTACTTATTTCAAGTTTGAACACCCAAAATAAAATTTCTGGCTTCGCTACTGCTTGATTGTATCTGCAAAATAGCTGGCCATGTCCTCGTTATGCCGTGGATGTGGAAACTCGAAACTCCATTTAGGACTTTGAAGATGTCTATGTTATTGTGTGGTTTTCTTTTTCATATTGTCTTGTATCAATTATCTTACATCGTAGTAATAGTTTTGTGGTGTTAGTTACTTTGTCATAAAGTTGTATAGTTTGGTGTAGTTACAGCTCGAATGAATTTGGTATATGACGAGTTATTGTGAGTGTATATGGTGTACTGTCAAGTGCTATATTGTTGCGAGTATTATTATTTCTCTAAAAAGTTTCTGTTATTTACTGTTTAACCAAAAAATAGAATTTTAGTCAAAGCTAAAATTTAGAAGAACGCGGTTTACTGATAATCAAAAGAATATGTAGAAGAAAGTAATTTGGGGTAACCAGAGTGTAATCAGGAGAAAAACAAGTGAATCAAAGTATATTCCAATCGTATCTTCCGTTTACAAGTGACCAGATACCTCCATTTTATAGGTATCTTGAAGATATGTATTTTCCTCAAATCATAATGAAGCTATTATGAATAATTAAAGACATTGAATGCTACGTTACACAATCATTGTATTCAATACAAATTCTCTAACGTATAAAGTATTTAATGCCTGTCGAATTTCGTATCTGCGCTCTTTATTATGGTCAGATCCATTCCTTTTGATAAATGACTTAAATAGGTACGGACGCTGAATCCTTCGAATGTCCTCCCGTGCCTCTTACTTTGCCTTTGCTCATTTCTATTGCTGCCCGTGCTTCTTGACTAATTATATTTCTTTGACTATTTGACCAGTCCACGTGTCTCAATATGTCACTTACATATATAAATGCAATTTTTGCCTATACATTTACAACAGAGAAAAGTTTTCACTATAAATAAAAAAGAAAAAGAAAAAAGGAAATATTACATTACAAAAGATTCCCAGTTACAATCGTACAATGTTAATGGGCCTCCATTGCAAGATTCAGATACAAATCGCACGACATGCTATGATCGTGCGATCATAGCACGCAACCCTCAGATTCACATGAATGTGTTCAGCCGCTCAGATTGTGAACTGTCAGATTCCCATTTTTTCTCCAATTTTGGGTCACACCACGAGCTTTTCGGGTTTAGGTGGCAACACAGATCCATCAAACATGAAGAATTAACACAAAAAGCAGCCAACCTAAGCGGCAGACGTATAATATATATATAATTATTTGTAATTAATGTATAATCTATATATATGGATCAAAGTAGCAGTGGTTAGGTCTGCCATGTTATATGGAATTGAATGTTGGCCGGTAAAGAACTCACACGTCCAGAAGATGAAAGTAGCAGAGATGAGGATGTTGAGGTGGATATGCGGGCATATAAGGATGGATAATATTAGGAATGAAGATATTCGAGAGAAGGTGGGCGTGGCCCCCATGGAGGACAAGATGCGGGAAGTAAGACTCAGATAGTTCGGGCACATTCAGAGAGGAGGAGCACTGATGCACCGGTGAGGAGGTGTGAGCGACTGGCTGTAGTGGGCACGCGGAGAGGTAGAGGGCGACCTAAGAAGTATTGGGGAGAGGTGATCAGACAGGACATGACGCGACTTAGGATTACTGAGGACATGGCCCTTGACAGGGAATTATGGAGGTCGAGCATTAAGGTTGTAGGTTAGGGGAAACTTGTGAATATTTCTACAGCACAATAGAGTGAGACTAGCCAGTTAGGAGTTAGACTAAGAATGTCATTGGTCGTCTATTTATGCAGGGCTTTACCTGCTAGTTTTACTATACCAGCCATCTATTTCGTATTTCGTATTCTGTATTTCATATCTCTTATATTGCTGTTATTTTATTATGCATTTTTATGGTACTAATATATCGGCTCCTGTTGCTTTTTTTGAGCCGAGGGTCTCCTGGAAACAGCCTCTCTACCCTTCGGGGTAGGGGTAAGGTCTGCGTACATATTATCCTCCCCAGACCCCACTTATGGGATTATACTGGGTCGTTGTTGTTGTTGTTGTTG